CCCCAAACCCCCCCTCACACCCCCCGAGCCCCCTCAAACCCCCCAGGGGTGGAACCAGCCCCCCTAAAAGCCCCTGGGGGCGACACCCAGGTGTGACCCAGGTGACACTGGTGTCCCTGGGTGGTGAAGGGGCTCCTGTCCCGCCCGGACCAGGGGGTTCCCTGTGGGTTTTGGGGTGACCCAGGTGCCCCCAGGTGTCCCTGGGTGTGACCCAGGTGTGACCCAGCCCCGTTGGTGCCCCCAGGTGCTGAACGGGCTCCTGTCCCGCCCGGACTGGGCGCTGGCCCTGCGGGTGCCCCTCGGGGTCCTGCCCTGCGGCTCCGGGAACGGGCTGGCGGCCGCTCTCAACTGCCACGCGGGGTAAGGGGGTGTTGGGGGGCACGGGGGGGACATTGGGGGCATAGGGGGGCATTGGGGGGCATTGGGGACGGGGGGGGGCGTTGGGGGGCATTGGGGGGCATTGGGGCATGTCCGCAGGCTGTCCCCGGCCCTGGGGGTGTCCCTGCTCCTGCTGCTGTGCTGGGGGTGCCCGTGTGACCCCGTGTGACACATCCCTGTGTCCCCATGACCCCTCTCTGTCTGTCTGTCCCCAGCTGTGCTGGGGGTCCCCGTGTGACCCCGTGTGACACATCCCCATGTCCTCCATGACCCCTCACTCTCTCTCTCTCTCTGTCCCCAGACTGTCCCCGGCCCTGGGAGTGTCCCTGCTCCCAAACTGCTCCCTTCTGCTGTGTGGGGGGTATCTGTGTGACACATCCCCATGTCCCCATGACCCCTCACTCTCTCTCTCTCTCTGTCTCTGTCCCCAGACTGTCCCCGGCCCTGGGGGTCTCTCTCCTCCAGAACTGCTCCCTGCTGCTGTGCCGGGGCTCGGCTGCTCCCCTGGACGTGCTCTCGGTGTCCCTGGGCTCGGGTGCCCGGCTCTGGTCGGTGCTGGCCGTGGCCTGGGGGCTGGTGGCCGAGGCCGACGTGGGCAGCGAGCGGCTGCGGCGCCTCGGCCCCGCCCGGTTCCTGCTGGCGGCGGCGGCGCGGCTGCTGGTGCTGAGCACACACCGGGCACGGCTGGCGTGGCTGCCAGCCCTGGAGGGCACGGATAACGGGGTGGAGAGGGACAGCCAGGCACCGCTGGATAATGGGATGGACCTGGAGAGCAGGATGGACAGGGACACCAGGGTGGACAGGGACACCAGGGTGGACAGGGACACCCGGACACGGCTGGATAACGGGACGGACCTGCCAGCCCTGGGAAACGTGGATAACGGGATGGAGAGGGATAACAGGACGGACAAGGACACCCAGGCACGGCTGGATAACGGGACAGAGCTGCCGGCCCTGGAACACGTGGATAATGGGATAATGGGGGACACTGGGACCAACCAGGACACCCAGACACGGCTGGGAACTGGGACGGACCTGCCGGCCCTGGAACACGTGGATAATGGGATGGACACGGATGATGAGGGACACCAGGACACCAGGACAGGGCTGGGAACAGGGACAGACCCACCAGCCCTGGATAATGGGACCAACAGAGACACCAGGACACGGCTGGATGGAGGGACAGAGCTGGACACCAGGACACAGCTGGACACGGGGACCCCCCCGGCCCCCAGGACTGCCCTGCCCCGCAGTGCCACCAGTGTCACCTGCTCCACGGCCTTTGGGGACCCCCCCGGGGATCCCCCCGGGGACCCCGACCTGTCCCGGGCCGTGTCCGACCCCGGACTCTGCGACGGGGACGGGGGGGACTGGGGGGACCCCCCGGCTCAGGGGGACACCCCAGATAACGGGGCCACCCTGAATATTGGGGCCACCCCAAATAACAGGGCCACCCCAAATAATGGGGCCACCCCAAATAATGGGGCCACCCCAAACAACGGGGCCCCCCCGAGCCCCCCCGGGCCCTCCCAGTGCCCCCAGTTTGGCCCGGCCGATGACCTGCTGGTGCCGCTGGGGCAGGCGCTGCCGCCGGGCTGGGTGACCCTGGAGGGGGACTTCGTGCTGGTGGTGGCCCTGTCCCCGTCCCACCTCGGGGCCGACCTGGTGGCCGCCCCCCGGGCCCGCCCCGACGACGGGCTCCTGCACCTGCTGTTCGTGCGGGGGGGGGTCTCCCGGGGGTCTCTGCTCCGCGCCCTCCTCGCCATGGCCCGGGGGGGCGACCCCGGGGGGGGCCCCGGGACCCCCCTGCGCCGCGTCCCCGCCCGGGCCTTTCGCCTGGAGCCCCTCGGGGGGGGCACCATGACCGTGGACGGGGAGAGGGTCCCGTGCGGGCCCGTCCAGGGGCAGCTGCACCCCGGGCTGGCCCGGGCCATTATGGCCCTGCCCCCCAAGTGAGGGGGACACCCCCCAGGGACCCCCCGGGCCATCATGGCCCTGCCCCCCAAGTGAGGGGGACACCCCCCAGGGAACAGGGACACCCCCAGGGGACAGGGACACCCCCCCAGGGACCCCCCCCAGGGGACAGGAGGGACACCCAAGGGACCCTGTGGGCATGGGGGAGGACCGAGGGGCTTTGGGAGACCCCCAGGTGGTCGGGGAGGAGGCCCTGAGGGTTTGGGGGGACCCCAAGGGACTCGTGTTTGGGGCGACCTCAGGGGTCTGGGGGGCCCCTGAGACTCGGGGAGGGGTTCAGGGGTCCCTGTAGGCCCTGGGTGTCCAGTGACCCCCCCTGGGACATTGGGGACCCTCTGGGGGGGTTTGGGGGGTCCCTGTGCCCCCCCTCCCCCCGTGTCTGTGCAATAAAACCCGATCGTGGAGTGACCCTGAGTGTGAGTGGGGGGGGTGGGCTCTGCCCCCCCCATCCCAGTGCCCCCCCTCCCCATCCCAGTCCTCCCAGTTCAAGCTCCCAGTTCAGGGTCTGACGTTTTATTCTGTACAAAAACCCCACCCCCCCCCCGGCC